AAATTATTATTTATCTAGAATATTCCAAAACTCTACAAAACGAGTCTTCGCGAAACCAACAAAGACAAACAAATTATATAAATACATTTTTTCATGCTCTGAAACACAACAACCCCCATCCCTGAGAAAAATTAGTAACTTTCTTAATTTGGATACTCACAGCTTCTGGAATTGCTTGTCAAATGAACTTGGGGATGAAATATGAGAATATTCATTGTTCTGTTTCCATGTAGATGAAGGTGCATTTGTTATGGCCTGCAATTTTACCATAGACAAATTTGTGTTCCATAAGAAGAGAGAAAAGGTGTAAGAAAGAAAAAAAGGCTAAGTAGAAGGTCTTGAAAGTTACAGCAACTAAATATGAATTGGAATGATACTGGAGGCAAAGAAATTATGCGCTTTACTTCACTGAGATGGAAAAAAATACGAAACTGTGACATCCAGTAAGAGAAAGCTTCCCCTAAACTAATATAATTTAAGTACTCTCGTGATAACTGTTATAATTTAAATTATTTACCATTCTAGTTTCTAAAGAAGGAAATATGAAAACAGCATAAAGTGATAGAAAAAACAAATAGCCAAAGTAATATCATAAAATGCAACAGATAAACCAAAACCCAAACAATTCAACGGAAAAAAAACAGTGTGTTTACCCATTGATTATCATAATATGAAGATGCTTTATTGCTGGTAGAAGGTTGTCCAAAAGAATTCCCAACTGGTCTATATCGATGGTTCTCCAAATTATTGACTTGGTAAGGCTGAGCTGTTACTTGAACTTCACCGATTGCTTGAAACTGGCGCTGGAATTCAGGTTTTAAACCCTCTAGTTCATCTAGCACAGTTAACAGCATCTGAGACAATGAGACAATCAGACAATCAAAAATAGAAAAATTGTCATCTTCAAGTCGAGACGTCAACTTAAAGCCCGCCATCACAAATCGTATCTGGACACATTAGTTAAAAATAACAGAGCCTATAAAGATCCCATGAAGAATTAATTTGCAGTCCAGAATGTTAATTAGTAAATATAAGAAAATGTCTTCAAAGTAACCCCATTCGTAAAGGATCATTTGGGAAGATGAACTGATGAAATACTGACCTTTTTGGATAATGCTCTTTCTTTAGGATGCAAAGCCTGGTAATCTCGATGAGAGGGTATTGTTTCAGTAACCAAACTGTACAACCAACACCATTTAGTTATCAGCAAACACATAAATGGTCCAACTAAGGATAAATTGGCTACAAAAAAAGCATTATTCTTGATTCACCTTGAATATCTCAGAAGTATTATATACAAGTCTATGATATTCTTCTCTCCACGATGAATACTAGCCTGTAAGTAAACCATAAGACAATCACAAAACTCTATCCAAACAAAACCATTTTGTTAATATAAATGTTTCTGAATGCAACATATATCAAGATACATATAGCCAAACCCAACAAACATTGGAGAGAGGCATCAGCAGTAAAAGTTACAGTTTTATCATCATAACAATGTCAGTATTCGAATCAAATAGGCATGAGTAGAGCAAAATAGATAGAGATCATGCAGATAGTGAACTCAAACTAGTTTACGATTGAGGCACAACTGTAGATGTATTTGCTATGGTCCACATTTAACAGCTTATATCAGTAAAAAGTTAGAACTCCAACTGAAAAATCAAATAAGTTCAACTCTAACAAGTTGGCACCGGAGTTATGAAAACAAAAGTTTTGAATTCTCGGGATATAGAAGAGTAATTTAACGGATCGCAACTATTTTGGTATTGATGTATAGTTGTAAAGGTTGCAGCTTTAATAGTTGTATCAATAATACAACAATCATAACCCCAATTGAAAAATCAAATAAAGAGCTTACCCAATTCAATCAATTTGGGGGCAGGATATTTGTAAAACACAAAATAAAGGGGGAGGAGAATTTGAAAATATTTTACCTGTCGGAGGAGATTATTGGCGATCCTGTAGTAATTGCGAAGAGGAATTCGATTGTCGACGTCGACTTTCCGCGCCATGGCGTCGATATTCATGGTCGCTGGCCGCCTCATTGCCCCGGGGAGAGATTTTCCGGCGATTTAAGGAAGAATAGGAGTATAGATTAGGCTCAAGTGTTGAGAAGGAAACAATTGAAATAAGAGAGTAGTTTGCTGCTTCTTTGTTATGTCGACATGGTGTGCTCGCCAAGACTTGGACTATCTTCTTTTTCTTTCCTTCCTTGTAGAAACGAGACCTTGAATTATTAATTTTACTTTTTGAATTATTGATTGTTTAGAAAAATAAGTTTATTTGATTAATTGAATTTTGTAGATGAGTACTTTAAGGTTGTCAATAGTTATAACCTACGGGATAAATTGATAATTTAGCTGAAGTCCTTTTTAATATTTATTTTTTTAGAGAGTGTTTGGAAAGTCATCCTCGTAATTGAATTTAATATAACTATGCTCTCTGACGTGTTTGATTGGCTATGTAATTATTTGGTTCGTCGATAATTTGGTATATTCGATGAGGGTAATTACAGTTTTCAATTCTCAGAGAGACTATGTATTGCTGGTATTTCCATTATTTTAACTTCTATTTTTATTTATATTCTAAAAAAGTATTTTTTTACTATATTATTTATATTTTATGTCGATTCCATGATATTTTTCGTATTACCTATTTTTTTGTTAATATTTTAATTTTCAAATTGAAGTAGAATTTATTGTTATGTAAGGTTATAGGCCTACATTTTCTGTTCTTTTAAATTACATTTATGTGTATTATGTTAAAATTTGACATAAGAGTGTTGCGTTAAATTTTTTGCTTTGAATCTAGAACTTATGTTATTTTCAATTTCATTTATTTTAGTAGTATTGACTTGAGATTTCACATTGCAAAGTCATTTATTTTTTAGTTAGACTTGATTGATTATCTTTTTGTCAAATATTTCAATAATTTAAAATAATTTATCTATAATATTAATATTTTTTTGTCAAACATAAATTTCATTATGTGTATAAAAATCTTTTACTTTTAGTTCTTATGATTAATTCAATTGAAATAGACTAATTTGAAAAATAAAAATCAATATTTTTTTCTAATATTAGTTAAGAACGTATGTTTATTAATTAATAGATTTTCAAAAGACAACATATATCTTAGATATTTAATTTAATATCATTTATAAAGTTTCTTATTTGTCTCATATATTTTGTTTAATAATTAACTCTTATTTCTAAAAATTTAATATAATCTTATGATTCCAATTGCGCATTCAAACAATATATTCGTACTTACATTGACTCACACAAACATGTTAGTATAATTACTAGCTAGACTGATTGTTATTACCCTGATAATTACATCAATTGCAATTACCAAGACGAACAATATAAGATAATTTTCTTTATTTCAACTGTCCCCCAAATCTTCAAGTGTATTCTATATGAACTCTAATATTTCTATTTATTGTATTACGTAGAGGCATACAAAAAATTAGTCATAAACTTGACATTAATCATGAAGTCATGGAGACATAAGTTGTGGAAGAATACCAAGGTGGAAGGTTATGAATATATGGGAGTTACTATACATTATGGAGTGATTATACGTTGAAGTTATGAACATCCACATAAATATATTTTAACTCAAAAAATTGTGACAAGATCAATATGGCGTTTTTAAATCTAGAATTATTAGGCACTTCTATTTTTAAAACATCAATTATTTCACAAGAACCTCACAAAGAAATTGAATTATAACCATCGAGTTTTTCTTGAACTTTTTGTGTTGAATAATATGAGATATCTTAGGATTGCGTTTAATATTACATTTATATGATGTTTAACTGATGATATACATTTATCTCAAAATAAATTTATGTTATAAAATAAATTTAGTCTCATATCACATCTTTCAAATGAGATAAATTACTCTATAAATTATAATTTCAAAATAATTTTATCTGACATATCAAATGGTCCCTTTAAGTTATAATATAGACTAATATGACTTAGGTTGTTTCATTTGAATTTGAAGTTTATTGGTGGTAGTATGATTTCAAACCTAGTGAGCTTGACTCTTTCATATAGGTTTTGCCTTCGCGAAATTCGGATTAACTTTCCATTTAAAATATACTAAAATTACTTCTCGGTAATTTTTTCATTACAAAAATAGTTTTCGAGAAGCTAGATCTCTCAAAATATTTATGGTTGGTGTCACATGAATGAATAAATCAACACCACTTCTTTAATCAAACTTACATAGGTGTACTCATAATTTAATTTTAAAAGGGGAAATTTTAACTCAAAATGAGAGATAGGGGCTATTTGTTCCAATATATGAAAGAAGGGGCATTTTCAATTCTAAAATTGACATTAAACTCAATTATGATTCTATAGGCGATATAAAATTTTTAATCTAAATCATTTTCCTACCCTTTTCTGTTTTGTATACATTCAATTACAATTTTCATAAATGAAGGAAAAATATACTTATGATGATGAATGTACATGTAACATGTGGATTTCAATATATAGAGATTCTTTAAAAAGATTCAGAATAAAAACTACATATTTGAAAATCACATGAAACAAATTATAACCAATTTATTACAATTCATCTAGAATGGTAGATAACATAGGTTTTTTCATCTCAATTTATATTATTTATTTTTTTTAGTAAGTCTAAAAATATGATTTATATCTATATTTAATAACAATTTAATTTTAAAATCTTCATTTCACCCTTAATGATATGATTTGTAGTCACACACATCTCAAACTTATTTTATAGCATATGTTTCAAAAATCTTTCTTTTTTCATAAATTTTATGTCAAGTCAAACTATATCAAACTATATAGTGAATGTCTGGTTGAAAGTTTTCTCCTAATCACTAGATCAAGAGTTCAAAGTTGGTAAGCACATGTCAAACTATATATAAATTGATACGAAGAGACTAATAGTTTTTCATCCGCAAGACAACATAAAAAATACAAAGTATCACTAGGCAACGGACCTTCAAAAATTCCACACTTTTGTTCCTCTAGTCTCAACTTCAGTAATCACTTGGAACCAATTTTCAAAGCAAAAATGTGCATTTGATCATATTTACACATTACAAGACCTTAGTGAAAAAGGCCAAGAGAGAATGATTTGGGATGGGAAGACTTCTGATGTGATTGAAGCAAAGTTGCATAAAGTAGCTGATTCCAAGAATCTGGTATACCAGGAAGGCACCAATGGCTGCAGTCTTGAAACATCCCTGGCCTCCTCTTTGATTTTGCCCCTCTGAAAATTGAAGGGTGTCCTTCTTTTCTGTAGTCTGTCATCTTAGTAATGTTGAGATAAACAACTGGTGTCTTCATTTCTGATATTACTGATTCAAGAACTCTCATCATCCATGGATATGGACCTAATTGAGTCTCGTTTGTTATCGGTTTCGTCTCCCCATCACAGTTTCCTCCTGAGTTCCATTGACCACCTCTGCAAAAAAGGGAATTCCCCTCATTAGCCTATCAAACAACAAGGGGTCTGGAGAAGGTAGGGCGTACGCAAATGAGAGATTGTTTCCGAAAGATCCTCAAAAATTATAAGAATGAAGAAAGCATAGCGGTTAAAAGGAGTCAGTAGACTATCGAAAAAAGAGAAGTTTTACTTGAAATGAGAAGCTGAATATCCCCTAAAAAACACTCTAGTTTTGGTGCTGTTGATAGTTGTATCAACCCAATGTGCCCATGTCTTCAATGCCTTAGTATATGCATCTGCCACTTCCAATCTGTTATACACATGATTCCCTTCTTGAAAGTAGTTACTCCTAAACAGGGAAAATTAATAAAAAATCATTTCTTGGAAGAAAAAAAATCAGCAACAGAAGATTGATATAATCTTTACACTTTGTGAGTTTTCTGGTGAGTCCACCAATGACCAGTATTGAAGATGATAATGTCAGCATCATGGTACTTAGTAAGAGAGCCATGGATTGTATCGAGACGTAGAGTTTCACGACGTGCTCCAGCTTTATCCGAAAACCTCCATTCTTGAACTAGGAATGGGGATTTTATGAAGTCAATTGAACATTTGAAATCCTACACATAACAAAACAAATATAATTCAAGAAACTTGAAAATCATTAATAACTAGTAGTATAAGTAGTTCATTGAACCTTAAATTTGAAAGAATAAAATCCTTGACTTCTGAACTGACGATAGCCCGAAACTTCGTTCACCCTGTTCTTGTCGATGAGTGAGTTTCTCAAAGCACAAACCAGAGATTCCCACATGTTTCTGTTCAATGAATCTCCAACAAAAACCAGTCTTTTTCCCTTTAACATCTTCAGCATTTTCAACCCATCAAACCTGTTAAAAGAGAGATGAATTCAACAAGAAGATAGATTTGTGAGAAAAAAACAGGGGATTATAAATCAAGAATTGAACCTTGGGATTTCGCAACCATGTGGCTTCCATTTGAGCCTGAGATAATCTGTATCACGACGTCCATTCTTGAAACAGTTGAAAGAATTGTCGATAAACGGACAAGAACCCAGTTTATAAAGCGGATGAAGATCATTGTCCTGTACCCATTCACCATCAAAAATATCACAACATTTGTCCTCTTCTTGAATAGTAACATCATGAATCCATGATTTTGTTGGGAAGTTTGTGGGTGCTGAAACTGTACTGCTAGTTGTGTGAGTATCAGATACTGGTACTAAATCAAATTCATGAATGGAAGAAAATGAGTGGGAGTGAAGACGAGAAGCAAGAATCTTGGTGGTGATGACGGAGGGAGAGGAGAAGAAAATGATGAAGATGAGGAGAGTTAAGGTGCTGAAGAAAAGAGTGAAGAAAACAGAAACTTGGGTTCTTGATTTTGAGAGGAAGATTGTAACATTTCTTGTGAAGATGCAGAGTTCCTTCAAAGAAGCCATTGATGGAGTAGAATGCAGAGTTCCTTCAACAGGAAATTGATGAGAGAGAGAGAGAGAAAGAGGATGAATGAGCCCCTTTTAGTTTAGTTTATGTGTGTATCAAGGAGACACAGATTTTGTTGTCAATCCGAATCAAAGTAGGTTGCAACTGTTGTATTTTGATCGCGGTAACTAATCTCCTGTTATGTTTCGTTGTTTCTTTCATCAATCACAATTGATCTTAATATCTTTTGGGAGCCCTTTCCTTTCTTCTCAATATAGTTAATTAAAAGATAAACTCGCAATTAAGAAAAACTTAGTTATCAATTAAAGAAAAAACTTACTAGATATCATTAAAGAAAGAAAGTACAGTTGTATGTTTCAAGAGTTATGGATGCATATTTACAAGGCTACAACAACTCATATGGAACAAGAATATCCAATAAATAGATGTTACAACTACAACATTCTCATACTGATCAATATCTAATAATGAACAGATGGACTTTTGTTTACTAGTACCACATGATCAACACACTAGTCAAAAACTAGAGCGTTGCATGTAAATCAGACGCTAGTTTTTCCAGCAATATCTTCATTTGTGAACATTGCTTCAAAGGAAGAAAATAAGGGCCAAAGTCATCAGAACAAAGCTATGCAGCATGGACGATTTTGAAGCACGAAAAGCAGTGTTGTCATAAGCTAGGATGTGCTCAGCAACATTGAAAAGACCTGTTGACATATTTCAGAATGAGTTCAGTTTCGATAAAGAGACAAGAAGATCCAAACACATTGAATAGTGTACTGTCAATGTATATAAATTAAAGATTTGTTTCTTTAAACGTACTCCCAACTCGAAACAAATTAATCATATCCAATAAGTTTATCAACAGAACAAATATACTGGACAGTTTTGTATAGTGAAGTGGAGAAAGTTTAACCTCTTTCAGGGCCATAGCTACATCCCTCCTTGATAGTCTCTTCGACTGCTCTGACGGTGGCTTTATTATAAAATCTGAACTGCGACAGTATGCTTCCAAGACAATTAAGCACATGGTGAGTCTCCTCCAAGCAGGGTCCTTTGCAGTATTGATCGGTATATTCAGGTGGTACATGGAGCTCCCCTGTCTCAGTCAATCTGTAAGACTCTTCACAACTACTGTAAATCTGCAGCTTCAGTATTTGAACTAAGTTACACATCCATTATTGAATTTCAAATTGTATTAAAGCTATCCAAAAACGTGTCGGAGAAATATACCAAAGATAAAGTGAGAACATCCATCATTTGCATGGGTAAGAATGACTTACATGCTTATCAGTGAAACATTGCAATGCCTTAGAGAAAAGATAGTCAGGTCGAGCATCAATTGTGCCACCACCATATTGAGGTGAATCACCGTTTTCAGATGAATATCCTCCATTTGTTCCTCCATAGTTAGGTAAATATTCATTTCCAAGTACTCCTGCAGCGGCGGTTTGACCCTCATAATCATCTACTTTACCTATCAAACAACAATCTACATTAATGTCATATATATGAAAATCAGCAATATAAAGGAGCAAGAAGAATAGGGGTTCATTTCTCATATGGTCGATCCCTCAACTAGTTAATAGTTATTATTGCCTTAGAAAGTCTTTCTTCTCGATTCCAATTTTCTTCAACAAAGAAACTAAGCTCTTGAGATAATAGCACTATTAGTTGAGCGATCATATGAGAAATTAACTCGAAGAAAAGTAGAAAGCATATATGTCACCTAGTGTGAAACGGAAAAACAAGAAACAGGTCAGGGTTAAAGATTGAAGAGAATGCTTCATGTTGGGTAATGTTCTACCTGCGGGATGGCTGCAGATATATATATATATATATATATATATATATATATATATATATATATATATATATATATATATATTTGAAGTTTACAATTATGGCATGGAATGTTAATGAAGCTTATAGTTGAAGAATCTACATTAGTCAAGTAAAACAAAGATAATTTCCATAGGGAAAAGTAAAAGCAATGGGTGATCTGCTCGATGGAAAGTTAAAATATTGGATGGTCTAAAAAGGTGAGTGACTAAATTAAGTTGAACTAACTAGACTTTACTTGCTTGACGTATTTTGCATTGAAAATCAAACCTAAAAAGATCCATCCTTGCCCCACAAGTTACCCTTTATAATACGTAGTACTGCTCATTGACCATCTGAAGCCAGGATGTTGATGTAATAGTGATTGAAAACGAATTTCAAAATCAGGCTGACTAAGGGCAAAACGCTTCCTACCTTATTCCTGTATCTGAATCCGAGAGGTTTAGTTAATAAAGAAGGAATCTCAACCATCACACACTTTCCTCAAAGCTAAAACCTTGAGGGAAGGTTACATGGAAGAGTAGAATAACTTATAATTTTAGGTGAGAAGAAGCAAGAGACCACCTAACCTCAGAAATAAACTAGATATTGTAGCTTTGGTGGGTAAGAAGAAGAGACAGTATGAACACCTAATTTTGTTACTTAGATAAGCATATCAACAATTCATCTTGAAGTATTCACATTAGTGAAATATTACATTTGACAGAACATACTGAATTTGCTAATACATGTTAGTAATTCACACTAAAACAATTTTCCAAGAGAAACATGCTATTGTTCCTCATACAAGCATTTAGTAACAGAAATACATTGATACAGGGGCTTGTGTCTTGATGATTAGTGATTACTTAGCTAGGAGGGCTTCTGGAAATATCGAAATATGGCAAAGACCAATCTCAGATTCCAAATAAAATGTTAAAAAGGGACAGCATCACTTCCTCGTAATCCTTCCTTTTGCGAATCTGCTAGGCTAAGTACTCAGTAGTGGTTGGACTTGTCATTACACATTACTCCTTTTAACCCCAAAAGAATAACCACCCCAGCCTCAACGGGCCAACTTAGAACAGAACATCGACACTTTTTTTTTAATCATGCATGCTGAGATAAAAGTTCTCAACCAACACAGACAATCAGATATCTCCATATCCTACATTACGAGGGCCTTAAGGCACATGTCAGGAGCGACATCTTGTTAACTTATGTTCGGCCTTCTTTACATGGCTGAAGGAATTAGTAGAGAAAAAAACTTCATCATAGCTGCCAGAAGCTGCATGAACACAAACTGAAATCAATCATCAGTATTGTCAACTCCACCTAGACAAGAATAAAGATGAAAAGGAAGAAAAAACTATTCATTGTGTACGAAGTCAAGAAAAAACCTTTTGCAAACTTACACCCAGGTTTAATGCATGAGAGACCTAAACAAGGAGCTCTATCTTCATATTCATGGTGATTATCTATAACAGGTAGAAAAATCTGTTTGGACTTTGTCATTGATAAGACCATGACAGTAACTTCCTTCTTTTTCCTTTAGTCAGGTCCTTGAAATGAAATCAGATTTCTTAAGATCAAAGAGGTGTTTGATATAAAGCACCAACATATTTTTTCCCGATCTCATGGAAAAACAAGCAATATAACAGTTCTTTTAGATCAGAAGATAGCTGGCCATGTTGCTTGCTTTCTCAGCCCATTCCATTCCTGTGAAAACACAAGTAAATGCAAAAATAACTATAAGTTAAAAGTCTTCATCCTCATTTTAGGGGAAAATTGAGTTGAAATGTCAAATATTAACACAATCTCAATCCACATAGATGTAGAACAGCAACGTTCACAAAGGAGATATATAATTTGGAACTTTGTGCCATCCAATACAAGCAAATTAAAAAGTAAACCATCTGAAACAATATCAATCGATCCAAGCAGATATAAAATATCAATATTTCTACAATATAACTTGCAGTTTTTCCAGGGCAGATCAATCAAAGACTGCTTCTCCTTGGAAAAACAGTCAACTGTCATACAAAAAAATACTACTCCTATACCAGAGGGGCAGACATATAGTCACAAGCGAAAATTCTAACCCCCGAACACTTCTCTGACAGGAGTCCTAAAAATAAGAAAAATATAATACGAACACACTTATACCAGGAGTACCTAAAGTAGTGCCTTGTGGCGGAGTATTCTATTAACTTTCAATTGCTAAAAGATTGGAATTCCTTTGAACCTAAAGACTTGAGAGGTAGAGTAGAAATCTACAAAAAGTAAAGGGTGTGCATATGTAGCCATGAGATTTGGTAGTGCCTGTAAGCCTGTGTAACATCTCTTTTATAGTGTACCTAACATTTAGGTAGCCAGGCAACATCACCTCAGTTTTATCGTACAAAGTTGTCCAATAAGAGTAATCCAAGCGTGAACTACAGCAGGGAATCACACTTCAGATATCTGCATCACGTATCGATATTTCTGCAAGATCATTATCACTACAAAATCTCCAAGTATCCGGATGTTTGACATGGACAACGTTATCCTATTGGAACAGCCGACATCCTATTCTTCAACCTATACCTCCTTTTAATATTCAAAATTATGTTATTGATACAACACAAAGAAAATGCTTATATACAAACATTATAAATTTGTATTGTTTTTTTGATAATGGTAGTGTGAGAATCAGCGTGCACACATCTCAACTGATTGACTTGTTACCTGCTACTTTACCCACCAAGACATGGACAAATAGGAAGAAATCGCTGGACGTTATCTGAATCAGCTGGAATTTGAGTCATGATCTCTCATAGTCCTTCTAGCTTTCATTAATCGCTAGATAATACCCTTGCTTGTTATACAAAAAAATATATAACATGTAAACCGTAATTAAGAACTCAAATTGAAGCCAATTATTTACGCAAACTGGAGTATCCTTGTTATACCATAAATACAAGTAAGATGCAAAAGGAACTTAAATGTCTATCTATGGATCCTTCAAATATTTCTACTAAGCCTTTCTTTCCAAATAGTATAGAAAAGCAGAGAGTTCTTTTATTACAGCCTCCATATTATCTTCCAATAGGCAACTGCCTCTGCTGCCATTCTAGGGTAAGCAACGAAATATTAAATAAATGAATTGCAGACAACACTCTAATTCAAAGCTAGAAGGACTCCAATATATAGTAGGTAAAATTGACATGCTTTTTCCAGAACAATCATAAACACGGACTAGCAGCAAGAATCCAACTGAATGATTAAAGCATCAGTTGTTTGAACATAGCTCAATCAGAAAGTGACAGATTCTGGCTATGCTATCGTTCAATACAAAATCAAGAAAGCTGAAGTATACCCCGTTGCTCTTCTTCATTTATCCATTTAAACTTGGGTAGGAACACGTGTATCAAGGGAATCCGATTGTACAACTTCTTACTAGTAGATAAGCCAAATTAAGAAAATCATGCAGTTTTTTTTAACATTCTAATTCACCCTGACATTTTGATAAGGAAGAGAGAACAATATCATTGAAGACCTTCCAGAATATTGAGACAACATAGCATACATATACATCATTTTTGTTTTATATATTTTTTTGGCCCGAAAGGAAAAACTTATTGTATCTATAATTGATTGGATTGCTTATTCCCTGAGGGGCCATTTGGTTACGGTATAAGAGGGAATGCTATTCATGTATAAAACATTGTATTAGTTTTACTATGCCTAGTAATAAGTTTTTTATTAGGTTGAAAAGTCAACTTGACTTACACTATGTTTAGTTGATAAGTTCTAAATATTGTATTAAAGTTATTCATGTATGAATTCTATACCATGTTTGGTTGCCTTTTTCTGTAATCCTACATAATTAATACCTATATAACTTATGAGGGAATCTATGTATAAGTTATGCAGGATAGTAGGTGAAATAAATTATGTGGATATTAGTTATACATGTATTAAAATTACACATTTATCCCTATTAATTTATTTTAAAATCTTTTTTCATTGAAAACTTTATAGCTATTCTATTATCACAACTATTTTTGTTTCTTATTTCTTTTTGTATACAAACGACTTCTTATTTATTTTCATTTAAAATCAAAATATAAATATCTATTATTAATATTATGAATAGGAATGTATAATTTTGATAGCCCATATGCTAATTATATATATATATATATATATGCGCATTATATATTACTAAATATATCCACATATTTAATTATCATGTATTAATTTTTTATTTAGAATGTGAAATTATATATAACTTATATATTTGGTATACTAAAAATGTACAAACAACACATGCATCATATTAATAGAAATTTACATTATATAAAATAGGATAGTATAATGTACTTGAAATATATTTTTTTGAAACTGATGTACTTGAAATATATCAATAGTATTTTATTTTTACAAGCTTTAAACATTAAACAAACAATGAGAAAAAAACACATAACTCCTAGTTAAGTATAGAGATAATTCCTTTCTTTATTTTTCAAGGGAGAATTTATACTATTTGCTTACTTATTTTATTTGTAAATAACATATATTAATTTATATTAAAATCAATATTTAATAGTTAATAATTCATATAATGTAGTCTCTACCTAACTAAATAACACCTACATAACTAATACCTAATACCTGTATAACTAGGCCTAACTGCATAACTAAACCCCGCATAACTAATACCTGCATAACTAAACCATGCATAACTATACCGGCATAACTCTAACCAATAACCAAACGGCCCCTAACGGTGTTGTTCAGTCACCCATTCACTTGTACATTCTTCTACAAAATGTTGGCATATTTAGTTGATGAAATTCTTTGATAAATCAAAATGAAAAAAAAATTAAAATACAATGTTGAATGAGGTGCTCAGCATACTCTCCATCTTTGTTAAACATACATCACCAACTCACTGTAACCTAGGCCTCCTACTCAAGTTGTTGGCTGTCAAAATGGAACCTGATGCTGCACTCTATGTGCAGAGGCAACATTCTTAGGTGTCTTGGGCTTCCATGACATCAACCACATCAGAATTGACCTATGCCCATTAAGTAAAGTAGGATATGTCAGTGACCATGCACGTCGTAGCACTCACCGAGGGCATGGAATGTCTAATATTTTGATTAGAATATCAACAGTATTTCTCTGTTAGATACTCTGGTCGACATAGTGGAAAGGTTAATTCAATTCACGAAGGAATCATGCAAAATTATCCCCTGAACTGGAATATTATTTTGAGATCTTCGACCATATTAGAGGGTTCAATGTTACTATTGTAACTTTGGCCGCTAAGATTTGACCTCACTGAAAAACATCTTCTGGATGAGTTCCGTATTCACTTTTCAGACACAACAAGTGTTCAGTGAAACTTCTACTTCAGTCCATCCCCCCAAAACTGCAAGGGTTTAGTTAAAGAAAGTCACATGATTACAACAAATTCAGGTATATATAAGCGTCATTTTAGCCAATTTCCCCAACATAAATAAAAAGGGCGAATCAAACAATTACAGTGAACTATGAGGGCTGCTTACTATGATAATAGATCACAGCTAATTCGTACATGGAAACAAAACATTTACGGTTTTCCATCAACATTACATTAAGAATTGCTGCTTACTATAATAGATCACAGATAATTTAATAACGTGGAAAACAAGAAAAACATGTGTCCTAATAGAGTACACAGAGATAATCTATTGACAAGTCTAGTATTTTATTTAGTCAATTAAATAGGAACACTTGTGAACAAATGATAAACACAAAAGGCGACATCTGAGGCATCACCAGTCCATAGAGCAGCACATTCACTTTTTAAACTTGACCATTCCCACTTTCCAGTACATTAGACTAGTAATTAATTACAACCAAATCCCACTTTTTCCTCTGCCTGGCAGTATGCATTCTTTATCCTTGCGCACATAGCATCCTTTACCATTTGGGATTCACACTTGCAAATATAGTGATCAGAGGAGCAAGGATGGGAAAAGGTAACTTTTATTAGCAATAGATTTTTCTATGTCAAGCATCAACGGGGAAAACATAAAGCTAATAGCAACTGAGAGATCAAAAAGAAACAGACATTCATAAACAAAATAAGAAATAATACAGCAACAAAAGAAGAGGTGAACAAGTAGAAAATCAAAGAGAAGAGATCATAACAGCATACCAATAGTAACTTATCAAGAAAGCAGTCATACCTATAGTCATTTGGCCAACCTGATGGGGCAATAGCAATGGTATGTTCATGATTGGCTAACACGCAGCGTAGCTTGTGAGCATTAAGTGATAATCACTCCTAAATCAAAGATACTATGAAGAAGTGATAGGTTCCAATAGCATCCCCCCTTTTCCGCACTCCTTTAAAACATCCTGAGCTTCTTTAGTATGACCTGATTGAATAAGTGAATCAAGATATAGTTTACATGTCAAAGCATCGGGGATGCATCCATTTGCTTCCATTGAAAAAAACAAGTTCTTAGCTTCATCATATCTCCCTGAGTTACATAAGGCTCTGATAAAAGCACCATAAGTATGATTATCAGGGATCAAATCCAGGGTCAACATGCTTACCAGAAGCCTTTGTGCCTCATCAATCTTATTCATCTTACAAAAACTTTGGATTAAGGCATTGAAGGATAAAACATCTGGCTTTATTCCATCACCTTGCATTTTTCGTAATAATTTCAGTGATCTACCTACATCCCCGAGGACACAAAGTGCACGAATTAAGATATTGTATGGTACAGTGTTTGGAGCAACTCCCCATTCTATCATCTCTGTGAGACAGTCTAAAGCATCGTCAATGCGGTTTACTCTACAGAGGCTATCAATCATTGAACTAAACGTGAAAATGTCTGGTCGAAAACCATGTTCTAGTAGTATGACTAATAGCTCATGTACCTTGTTAACCTCCCCTACCTTGGAATATCCACTAATAAGAGTGTTAAAAGTTGCAATATTGGGAGTGACACCTCTCTGAAGCATATCTTTGAAAGCATCTGATGCTTTTTTCATCATTTTGATTTTGCAAAAGCAATCAATGACCCGGTTATAGAAGAATGTGTTAGATACAAGACCATCCTTAAACACCTGGTCCATATATTTGTTCCCCTGTTCAACTCTCCCTCCTTTATAGAGAGCATCAGCAAGTGCAAGATAAATATCAACACTAACCTTCACACCTCGAACAGTGATGAAGTCTAACATCTGACAAGTATCATCAAGCTCCAATCCTTTGATTAAGCAAGTCAGTGCAATGTTAAGAATTGAGTTATCCAGGAAGTAACCTTTATCAATTGAAATTCTTAAAAGTTGAGCTGCTTCTCTGGGCAAAAATTTAGTACTAAGGCACTGTAGCATGGAAGAACAAGCTACATTAGGCAAGACATGTTCTTTTTCTAACCATCTACATAACAATTCAAAGCCCTTATCTGGTGTCACACAGCGAAATACCCCATTAACCAATGATCTTACAGTAGCTTCATTTGGTACAATACCCCTACTCTTCATTACCCCAAACAGCTCAAATGCCCCGTCCACCCTTTTAGCATTACAAAACCCCTCAACCAAAATTGTGTAAGTAAACACATTGGGAGAGTATCCCACTCCTTCCATCTGTTTCACCAGACGAAGCGCCTCCTCCACAACCCCAGCCTTACAAACTCCATGAATAAGAATATTATACGTAAATTTATCTGGTTTACAGTTATCTACCTGCATTTGCTGAAACTTTAAATAGGCTAAGTCAAGTGAATTGCACTTGATCAATGCATCGATTACCGCATTATACAATCTAGTATTAGGAGCAAGCCCCAAATAAGAAACCTGCTCCAAAATGTCAGTAGAGTACTTCCCCAACCCTAATCTCCCCCAACTACCAATTAGGACACAAAGCAAGTCCACAGTAACTACATTTCCAGAGTTTCTGATATCTTGAACAAGCTCAGCTGACAACAAAAGGGGACCTTTCCTAAAAAGTACATTACTTAAAACCACCTTAACTGATTGATTCTTCGCAAAAGAGGGACAAATCTTCACAACCCAGATATAAAATCTAAAAGGGTGTAATGGGTTTTCTTGATTTTGCAAAATACTAACAACTTCTTGCTGATTCAAAGTAACCCTCTTGGCTTTATACTCGTGGTTTAGCAATAAATACCAGTCTTTTCTTGCAAGAATTTGGGAAAAATACTTATGATCAATGACAGTTGCTCGAAAGTTTACCTTTTTAACTGCTACGGAAGTGTTGGAATTCGAATGGGATGAAGGCTTCGGCTTAGTGGGTGAACTTTGTTGAGTAATGGGGTTGCTAGTGGTGGCAACAGAATCAAGATTTGAGGGTTTCGGAGTAATGGGTCTGAGTGAACGTTGGTTTTGTTTAGAGAGATTGGTGAAAGCAGGTGAAGAAGCCCTTGAAGCTACAGAGGAAAACCCTCTCATACTCTTTCACTCCCCTTTGAAGCTCTACTTCTCAACTCGACTATGTTTTCATCTTCACTCTCTTATTAAATTTTAACCTTCTACTTCAAGCTCTTGGCAGGAGAAAAATCAATTACAATTTAACTAATAAATTATATATATGTTATAATTATATATGCATAGTATATTATTTTTATATAATTATATATGCATAGTATATTATTTTTAGGAATTCTAATGAAAAAATAGATATAATGTGCTTTTTATATGTGCAATACTATTAGAAGTTAATGCATTATTGAGTGTTTTTTTACTATATTGAATTAACTAATAATATAAGTAAGGGACTTAGGCCTCATTTGTTTTCATTAAAATTTAGAGATCTGAATTAGAATGTACATCTGAATATTAAAATTTGCATTAAGATCGAGGTGTTTTGATTTGAATATACATCTGAATATTAAGATGTGGTCTCTAAATCTGAACACTAAATAATTAATGTTGTTTGTTTTCAATATCTGAATGTTCAAGTAAAATTGAATATTATATTAATAAAATAGTATAAAATTTTTATTTTAACAAAATCTATCACTTTTGATTAAAAAAAGGTTTTAATAATCATAATTTGGAGTAGTATTTGTCATTCAAAAATCTTGATAAAAACCAAAATTATTATTGCAACCAATGTTCTTGACACACGTCGATACAAGAAAATTATTTATATAAAAAAATACTTGAAAAGATTTATAAAAACTTATCGATTCAAAAGGGAAAAATAGGTGTTTGATTGAGAAAAGAGAGAAACAAAGTTTTTAGTTATGAGGTAAGAAAATTTTTAGTTATGAGATAAAAAGGCATGTCCAAAGCAGAAAAACAACGATTTATTATTTGATAATTGATTTTGAATGTTGTTAAGAGTCTCCAACAGATCTGATTCGTTCACACCTCTTCAGACCTATTAAGAGTTATTTTTTAAAAAAATAAAACAAATAAACTTGATGGGTTAAATTTGAATGATTCAAGATCTAAAAGTCAAACATACTTAATGGGCTGAATCGAAATGGTTAAGATTCATACATCCATTAAGTGCAAACAAATAATGCCTTGAATATAATAAGAGTTTTGATATAAGAATTATAAGATCTAAAATGGCACATAAAATTCATGTCATTTGAATGATTCTATTTTTCATTTCTTTTATTTTTATAAATGATTAATGACCAAATTAAATCAACTCGAATTCGATAACAACCAAATGAATAAATAAATATTATGTTTGATTTGATTTTAACAATTTGAAATCTGATTCAATTAATTTGATTTTGATCTTAACCAATAATCAATCAGAACAAATTTATGAACACTCCTACTCTTACTAATCACCTCTATACATATAGATTATTCTCTCTTTTTCTTCTTTTAGGCTGTGATTGGAATATTTTCAATTTAATTAGAAATTAATATGCGATAGCAAAATTAAATGCGTCATATGAAAAAAATTATGAGCTTAAGGAATTATTTGTTTAAAATAATAAATTATTGAATATTTGAAATTTGAAAATGAGATGAATCCAAATAAAATCAAATAATTATATAATCAATCTCAGTTAATTTAGAGATAAAGTTAGTTGATTGAGGAATGTGATGTGTTGCATTATAATTAACCTGAGCCCGTTTGAATTAGTTTATTTTATGTATTTTAACTTAAATAGATTTAAAGCATTTTTCAAGTATTTTGAGGAAATTAAAAAAACTACTTACAAGCATGCACTTGATTTAAAACTAAAATAAACTAGAAATCGAATTAGAATTTTTAACATATGGCTTTCGGCTTTTACAAATCAAAATAATAAATTATTGAATATTTGAAATTTGAAAATGAGATGAATCCAAATAAAATCAAATAATTATATAATCAATCTCATTTAATTTAGAGATAAAATTAGTTGATTGAGGAATGTGATGTGTCGCATTATAATTAACCTGGGACTGTTTGAATTAATTTAGTTTATGTATTTTTAATTTAAATAGTTTTAAAGCATTTTTCAAGTATTTTGAGGGAATTTAAAAAAATACTTACAAGCATGCACTTGATTTAAAACTAAAATAAACTAGAAATCGAGTTAGAGGCTTTAACATATGGCTTTCGGCTTTTACAAATCAAAAGTCGAAAGCTAATTCATATTGGCTCTTATTCTCTTATTTAAAGTTAGCTTTTAAGAATATTTTGAGTGTGATAACATTTATATCTAATAGAAGATATTTATTGACCTTAAAACAATTTAGCTGTAACATGTGTAAGATGTTACAATTTAGTTGTAACATTTGTGAAGTACTCCAATATTCCGATAACATACATGTATAAATTTAACTTAAATAAGTAATATTAATTTTTTTTAATCTTTGTCAAGTAATACTAAAAAAATTAAAATCACATGACTTAAAGAAATACAATAATTAATACCAAAAAAAAAGAATTATAGTAAACTAAATTGTTACTTATCTCAAAGAAAGATAAAAATCATTCATTATCGGGCTTATGAACTCTTATAATTTAAATATGGTTTAACAATCGATGAGTCCGAGATTTGGACTCATTTAGGAATTTTTTCATATAGATTTAGTGTACTCAAGTACTTATTTTGTGCCATAAATTGATGTTCAAGCCTTGATTTTTCGGTATATGGATTGATGAGCAAAACAAAGACGCTAGCAGGCAAACAGAAACAAAACAAACTAAAGAAGTGAAGAAAGGCGAGCCTGAGGATCGCCCAGAGCATTTGGTGTGTCGCCAAGAGCACTTGGCGGCAAAACTGGGATAAAGTTGAGCCAAAAGATCTCGATTCAAGATAAATTCATGAGGAAGTGGTATCTCTTTAGAATTCCGATTGTTGTGAAAGTTACTGAATGAATCTATTTCATTCTAATTCGATCTAAGAAGAAAAAAATCACGCTCTGTAGGATTTGAACCTACGACATCGGGTTTTGGAGACCCACGTTCTACCCTAAAGTTTTAGTATGCCAACCTTGAGGGAAGAAACCAAGTCGGCGACAAAAAGGGTCAATCGGCGAATCATCGAGAATTTTCGTGATGCAAAGAGAGAATGCCCAAAGTTATAAGACTCGAGGATGGTAAAAGGCCAAGGCAAAAAGTGATATGAGAGAGCATTGGGCGGATCACTGAATAGTTCAGCGAACTCAACTTACTATGGCTAATGGACCTTCGTGGCTTAATTTAACCATCTATAAATTAGATTAACAATTATTTTAATATGTTTAGCTAGACTGAAAAAGGCAGAATTAGTTTAGAACACTTCTCTCTTGAGTTTTTCATAGTTTCTTAGCAAACTTAAAGGTCTTTGGAGATTCGATTTGAAGATTTTCAAGTGGGTTTCGAATTTCTATAAATTGAAGTATCTTAAGATTAATTACTCTTACCCAGTTGATGGCTAATCGATTTGGTAACTGTTTTTACTCCATTATGGTGTTTGGCTAAAACCACAATTCTTGGGGTGTGATCATGTAATTATGGGTTGAATTAGTTTATGGATATTGTTAATTACTAGCTTAAATGCTAAATTTAAGTGTGATTTTAATCATTAATTGTGGTTCAGTCTACGAGTTGTAGTTGCAAATCCACTTCTAATTTTATGTTCTTACCTTGCTCGAGAAGTTTTAAAACTAATATTCTTGATTAATGATTTGTAAGTATTGAGTTGAGATGGGTTTAGCTTTATAGAGTGAATCCTAAACGAATCCTACTCATCTAGCTTGAGATAGTGGATAAATTAAAGTGTGGGATGTTCTTCATTGTTATGTTTGTTGATGTTCAAAATAATTAACCTGATCCTGGATAGTTGTTCGAGAGAAAGCTATGTCCCTTATATAGTCTAGTCTACTCAATGATTTTTAGTTGCTTTCTATTAGTTTCAGTTACCCATATATCAAATTTTTCCTACGAACGGTCACATCCCGAGGATTTCTCTCCTTATTGTTATTTCAAATTGTTTGTGACTGCGTTGTAGTTAATAATTGCAAACCAAAATCCCCCATCTGACATTCGTGTCACTCATTTTAACTTGTTTCATGTCTTTTCTCGATAATTTCTATTCCTATAGCTGATTAGAACATGTTTGTACTTCCTAATTAAATTTGAACACGTAAAGCTCTCTGTGGGATTCAACGCTAACTCTTTGTTGGATTTTATACTGACTAACGATCATTTGCACCTAGATTCAGATAAGGTGTGCTTAAAACGTTAATCAAAATGGTGTCGCTGCCGGGGAGTAATGTTGTTTAAATTCTTTTGGTGAAGTTGAATAGTGATCTTTTTAGTTATAGTTGATTCAACCTATTTTAGTTTTTGTTATGTATTGCTTGTGTTAAGTAAAGGAGGAGATGAGTGTTAACATAAGTAGTAGTATCCAAGTGGGCCACCAAGATGACGTTGGAAACTTCAATGACTTAAATAATCCTAATGTGAATGACCCAATTTCATTGGGTAGCGTGCAACAATAAGTCTACCTCTAATTGAAGGAAATGTTGTTTTCCACATCAATTCCATTGGGTAGTGTGGAGCAATACATCTAAATCTAATTGAAGAAAATGTTGTTTTTCACATCACCGCACAGTGCTTTACAACTGAAGGGTTTGTCTGGGGGCTGACTTATGAGGATCCTATGAGCATATTCGAAACTTTGTGGACGTTTGTGTTCCATTCTCATTCAAGAGAATATCGCAAAAATTAGTCCATCTTAGGTTATTCCCATTTTCTCTAATGGGAGAGGCTAGTAAGTGGTTTACCGAGTTTCCAAGAGATTCCATCACTTCTTGGGTCAAACTTACTACTGCGTTCCAAGTGCAATTGTTTCCCCTCATCGAAGATGATGATTCTTATCCAAGCTTTCAAATGCTTAGAAGGTGAGCCAATTCATGAGATATGATTGAGGTTTACGAAATTGGAACTGCAATGTCCAACTCATGGAATGCCCAATAATATGTTGTTGTAATACTTCTATAGTAGCGTCGACTCGGTGAACAAAGGAATTGCTGATCAACTTTTTCCTGGTGGTATAATGCAAAATCATATGAAGTAGCATCTCAACTCCTTAACTGCATGACC